ACAATTCCTGAAGGAAAAATAACACTTATCCAGTATAAAAATAAGTACTATCCAGTAGAATTTCAAGTGGTGAACATTGAACACCCGACACCAATCTTGGGAGTGTTAACTAGCCAAGAATTAGGATTAGTTAAAAGAATGCACACTGTCAAAATGGAAGGACAAGACATACTGAATAACTATCCAGATGTGTTTGAAGGGCTTGGTTGTCTACCTGTTACACATCATATTGAACTTAACGAAATAGTCAAACCAGTTATACATCCGCCAAGACGTGTTCCTGAAGCAATCCGAAGCCGTGTTACCAAGGAACTCCACCGAATGGAAGAAGAAGGCGTAATTGAAAAAGTTGATCAACCCACTGATTGGGTCAACTCTATGGTTACTGTTATTAAGCCGCACAAAACGCGAATATGTCTAGATCCCCGTAATCTAAATGAAGCCATAAAACGTGAACATTTTCCCCTTCCAACGATTGAAGAAGTAACTGCTTGCATGCCTAATGCCAAAGTTTTTTCAGTCCTTGACGCCAAAAGTGGGTTCTGGCAAATTCCCTTGGACGAAGCTAGTAGTTTGCTATGCACATTTAACACCCCTCATGGACGATACAAATTTAAACGCCTACCATTTGGCATAAAGTCAGCCCCTGAAGTCTTTCAAAAACACATGAAACAACTCCTAGAAGGCCTGGATGGAGTTGAAGTTATAATGGATGACATACTTGTTTGGGGCGAGAACAATGAGCAACACGATGAAAGGCTAATCAAACTCCTGGAAAGAGTTAGGGCTATTGGCCTTCAGTTGAATAAAGACAAGTGTAAAATTGGCCTCACAGAGATTCCCTACATCGGACATCTCCTAAGTGAACAAGGGGTCAAACCAGATCCTTCAAAAGTTGATGCCATTTTCAATATGCCATGTCCCACCAACAAACAAGACTTGCAAAGATTCATGGGAATGTTAGCATACCTGTCCAAATTCATACCAAACATGGCTGAAGAGTCTGCACCATTACGTCGGCTATTAGAAAAAAATGTTCAATGGCACTGGTCGGATGAACACCAAAAAAGTCTAGACTCGTTAAAAACTCTTATCACCAAAGCACCAGTTCTTAAGTACTATGCTATAAATGAACCATTAGTTCTGTCAGTTGATGCTAGTTCAGAAGGACTTGGAGCAGTATTGCTTCAACATCAACAACCAATTGCTTATGCATCTAAACCACTCACAGAATGTCAAAAAAGATACGCCCAAATCGAAAAAGAACTATTAGCTATCTTGCATGGGTGTGAACATTTTCATCAATATATATATGGTCGAACAGTTGTAGTTGAAACAGATCATAAACCTTTAGAAGCGATTGTAACCAAGCCACTATATAGGGCACCTATCCGCCTGCAACGTATGTTACTCCGGCTTCAACAGTATGACATATCGGTCGTTCACAAGCCTGGGAAACAAATGTATATTGCAGATGCACTTAGTCGAGCTACTAACCTAACACAAAAATGTAAAGAAGGAGACACACCAACCGATGACATTTTCCATGTTCACATTATTGTACCTGCAACAGAAGAGAAGCTAGATCAAATCCGAAACGCTACTGAAAAAGATCCAGAGTTACGAGCACTGAAAACGACAGTCCAGAATGGTTGGCCTTCCAACAGATCAGACACACCATTAGAGACTCGTTCCTACTGGAGTTATCGTGATGAACTCAGTTGTTATGACGGTCTCATGTTTCGAGGAGAGCAATTAATTATTCCGGCAAGCGAAAGGGCGACCACATTAGAGAAACTTCACACGTCACATCTTGGCATAGAACTAACGTTAAGAAGGGCTAGAGATGTTATTTTTTGGCCAGGTATGAGTAAACAAATAACAGAAATGGTTGCCAAATGTTCACTCTGTTTGGCGCACAAACAGCCAATGTAAAGAGCCTATGTTACCTCACGAAATACCGGACAGACCATGGTCCAAATTAGGGGCGGATTTGTTTGAGTTATACCAGGAAAACTACCTTCTATTAGTGGACTACTACTCAAACTTTTTTGAGGTAATGAAGCTAACGAGCACAAAAACACCAACGATAATTAAGCATTGTAAAACCACCTTCGCTAGACATGGCATTCCCGATGTTCTAATCTCGGACAATGGTCCACAATTCGACAACGCAGAATTCAAGCAATTTGCCGAGGAATGGAATTTTACGCACAACACATCTAGTCCATATTACCCAAAGAGTAATGGCCTTGCAGAACGTACAATCCAGACCTTAAAGAAAGTTCTCAAGAAAGCACGAAAAGATGGGACTGATCCCAATTTGGCAATCCTCGAGCTTCGAAACACACCAAGAACCAACGACCTTGGTTCACCTGTTCAACGCCTTTTCAGTCGTCGAACCAAAACGTTATTACCAGTAAGCGACCAGCTTCTAAAGCCAAAAGTTGTTGAAAATGTAGCGGCAAATCTCAAGAACGAACGAAATCGACAAAAGAGATACTATGACCAACACACCGCATTGCTCCCCAAACTGAGCAAAGGAGACCACGTCATGGCACAGAAAACCCCGAAAGCAAACTGGCAACCGGCGACAATAAAGAAAGAGATTGCTCCAAGATCATACCTGATCACAGATCACAACGACAGAGTTTACCGGCGAAATCGATCACATTTGATGCGTATGAAATTTCCAGAATCAAGTTCTACCAACGCGGAGACTGCACGGTCAACTACGTCTTGTGAAACCAGTCCAAGTGACACTCCTAGTCAACAAGAAGTTCAATGTGAACAACAAACTGCACAAGCGAACTCTAGCAACCCGTGTGCGCAAACCGGATTAAAGACCTCACGGTATGGTCGAACAATAAAACCTAATCGTAGGTACACTGAATGACAATATACATGTATTATTTAGTATGTTAACATTTGCTGTCGCAGGAAGAGAAAGGAGAGGTGAAGAAAAAAAAAAAGAAATGAAGTGAACAGGAGACGGATGCGAACAGTACATAAACTCTCACAAACTTAATATTTTGACTTTTCTAGTTCAGGTTAAATCGTTCAGTTATAGGTTTTGTTAACGCTTCCATAGAAAGGGAGATGTAGCATTGTAAAATAGTGATCTAGGGCGACCTGTGTCGTCTGTAATATGGCTGCTTAAATAAACAACTTGTTACATGTATGAATCTTATTTCATATGATATAATATAGTGAAAACTTTCTTTGCTCTTGTAATAAATGATCAGGTTCTTAACATAATAAAGATAATCATGTTTTTCTCTTAGATAGATATTCAGGCTACAAACAAGTTTGTAAATATTGTGTCTCAGGGAAACCCTTCCAGTCGATTTCAAGGCTACAGCCCGGAAGCCTTTTTTAGGCCAGCAGAGGGAGGGGGATGTATTCACCCTAAAACAACTTCTGCCAAGGGTTTCATCAACAACAGGCGTCCTCTGCCCCTCTCAAAAAGTAGTCCAAGAACAACTCATGTTTTTAAAGTCTCACCCATAGGTAAATAGTTTTTCTGCTTTTATGGAAGACCCATTTAAATTATATAGTAGGTCAAGGCTGTTTTCCAAGGGGGGGGGGACATTGTTTTCTTACTATTCTGAATGGGCTGGACTTACTTCAGTTTTTCGGAGAGAAATTAGACTTCTGAAGCTTTTGGTTTGTCATGTCTGCGGCAACAACTACAACAACCTGGCTACTCGTTAAGACCATTAACATAATTGACTCCTCTTGGAGAGACAGCACTAAATCTCAGTACCAAGTGCATCTGCAGAAATGGTTAAAATTTTGTATGAAGAGACACTGTGATATCATCTCCCCTCCCTTACCACGGACGTTAGATTTTCTGCCATCACCATAAAGCACGACTGTTTGGAAAAAATTAAGAAGAAAATATGCATGAGGGCAGTGCTGGTTCATGGGGTCCTATTTTCCTTGCGATTTTGGTGCGATTTCGTCTTTTGATTGATGTGAACGAGCGAATAGTTATGATGTAATGATGTATAGGTGTTCTTATCTGAACAACCATAACTAAATCTACTCGTTTACATCTATCAAAAGAAGAAGATGGCAGCAAAATTGCAAATGTGAACGTGTCTTAATATATGCACCTCTTCAATACAGAAATCTCTCTGATATGAACATATTTTCAACTGCACAATTCATCAAGTCAGGAATGGTTAAGATTCATCCTCTGCTAATGATGTGAATTATTGCAAGTGCGTGTGAAGAGATAAACAATTGTGATATCAACAGCTCGTGTAACTCAGGCATATTTACTGCATTCGTTTATTCATTCATTTGGTCGATTATTCTCGTGAGAGCTAACTCAACTGATGATGTATGACTTTCATTCCTTCATGCAGACATCTCTCTAATACAGACATCACTCTAATACAGACATCTCTCTAATACAGACATCTCTCTAATACAGACATCTCTCTAATACAGACATCTCTCTAATACAGACATCACTCTAATACAGACATCTTTCTAATACAAACATCTCTCTAATACAGACACCTCTCTAATACAAACATCTCTCTAACACAGACATCTATCTAATACAGACATCTCTCTAATACAGATACCTCTCTAATACAGATACCTCTGTAATGCAGACATCTCTGATCTCTCTAATACCAAAATTTCTCTCTAATACAGACATCTCTCTAATGCGGGCACCTCTCTAATACAGGCATCTACTTCCAAACTAACAACAATGATTCAGCGGAGTATAAAGACGAGCCAAAATTTAGGCCTATTAAAATATAATGCATCACGTTAGGCATCGTAAGTTTTCGATGACGTCACATTTACAACAACCTGAGCCCACGACATACAATAAGCAGTATCTTTCATTCAAAGCATCGATACCATTTAGCGCATTCGCCATAACACGTTTTCTGATAAAATGTCAAGTTGTAAGAAGTGAATATTTTGAGGGTTTTCTTTGCTTTTTATTCGTCGTTAAACGTTTGTTTCGCCTTTACACAAAGTAAAATTCGACCATGAGCGACTCCGGTGAAGATTGGGATCTGGAGATTAGCTCCGGCGTTTCCAAACCCATGAAATGGACTGACCATAGTCCTGAGTCGAGTACAAACTCTCACAATTCCGGATTTTCAGCTCCTGAGAAACGTTTCGGTCGCGGACGATCTTCGCGTACTACAAACAGTTGGGGATCAAACGATGGCTCAGGTAATTGGAGGGGTAATTCGGATTTTGATAACGCTTTGCCCAGGAGGCCTAGGCGGGGGTTTGATTCATCGTCCCCCGCCAAGGAAGAGCGCCCACCGCCCTCCAGAGGGTTCGGATCCCGAGATCGTAATGGTGGGGTATTTGGTGGCAGTCAGGATGATGGCGATTCGTTGAGGATCGAGGTTTCTAGTCGGGATGTTGGCAAGATTATTGGTAAGCCATGGCGCACGGTATAACACATCAATTCAGTTAGTTTCGGTGTAGATTTAAATATTGTACCATATCAGTCTTTAATAACCAGCGTGTATTGTGAGAAACGTTGATGAAAATATGTTTTAAATATTGGATTTATCTATATAAGGATATAGGTCAATGCAATGATATGGATGCTAGCTATGATTTTGCATACTGTGACTAAATTTTTTAACTCCAAGATAGCTCAAGATTTCTTCGAATGTTCTGATATTTGATTCCAATAATCAAGCAATTGTCTGAAATTTTCACATGTCTGATAAAGATCTAAATACCTTGAGAACTTATTGTTATAATATCCTCTCATTTGACCTTTAAGGGGCTGATTACATGGTGTCTTTTCAGCCCGGGCTGAGTTTAAGCCCTGCAAACCGGGGCCAAAGTATTTTTCAATTACATGGCAAATTTCAGCCCGGGCTGTGTTATGACACGTCAGAATTATTTTAAAACCAGGGCTGAAATTTCAGCCCGGGCTGAGTTTGTAAAGGCTGGTAGTAGACCTATTTCGATTCTTCGAGCGCTTTAAAATCCCGAATGACAATAACTTGACCTGTAGGGGACTATGACTGCACATAAAAATGAAATAAACAAACGAAAAAGCGTTGTCAAGGCAAATTTTTCTGTCCGGGTTTAAGTTTATTTACGATTATGTGACAACAACACTAAGTTCCCGCCCATTCAGAAAATTGTTTCTCTTAGCTTGTCTTGTACCATATGTTTTTATGCTCCTTTGCCTTCCATAGACCCACACCCCTGGGCAGTGGGAGGGTACAGGCACTTACTTGGTACTCACTTTAGAAAATTGTTTCTCTTGTTGTACAATGCTATAGGGAGAGGTGGCCAGAGCATTAAGAATATTCAGAATACATCTGGAGCATGGATTAAGGTCAGTCTGAAAAAATGACTCCTTTCTTGTAAAGATTGTAGTCCTAGGTTCAGGGAAAGTTTGTAATCAACCAAGTGCATGCTTAACTTGTGTTGAAGGCCTGAAACTTACTCTCTTCAATTTCAAGATATTGAAAGATGAAGCTGATGCCATCCACACACCAATTGAGATCTCAGGGAGTCGAGACTGTCAGACAAAGGCCAAAGAGATGATTGATGAAATAATATCTCCACAAGATTTAGTGACAAATAAAATGGAAGGTAGTTTATATATCTCTAATACAGACAATTCTCTCTAATAATACAGACAATTCTCTCTAATAATACAGATGTCTCTCTAATAATACAGACATCTCTCTAATATGAACATCTCTCTAATACAGACATCTCTCTAATACAGACATCTCTCTAATACAGACATCTCTCTAATACAGACATCTCTCTAATACAGACATCTCTGTAATACAGACATCTCTCTAATACAAACATCTCTCTAATACAGACATCTCTCTAATACAGACATCTCTCTAATACAAACATCTCTCTAATACAGACATCTCTCTAATACAGACATCTCTCTAATACAGACATCTCTCTAATACAGACATCTCTCTAATACAGACATCTCTCTAATACAGACATCTCTCTAATACAGACATCTCTCTAATACAAACATCTCTCTAATACAAACATCTCTCTAATACAGACATCTCTCTAATACAAACATCTTTCTAATACAGACACCTCTTTAATACAGACATCTCTTTAATGTCTATATCTTTTTAATAGAGATTTTTTGCATATTTGCAGAAACAAGTCTGAAAGCAGGCGAAACCCCTTTGGTTCCCAGAATTGATTGGGCAGAGCTACGCGTGAACAGGGTGGCAAATCAAGCGAAGAAATGGGAAGGTATTGTAGCTGCTTGCTGTATAGAAGTACAACAGATTGTAAGCCACATATTCTTTAGACATAGCTCCTTGCTTATACCTTTTCATTGACTTTTAAAGTTTTTATTTGAGGTTTACCTGTCATCAAAAAAGTATTTTATAAAGAGAGTGAATCTGTCAGGAGAAGGTCCAAAGAGGAAGTTGAAATCTTTAGGTAAATATACAGTTTTTTATGGACTAGGGTTCCCAGAGTTGGGGGGAAGGACAATGGCTCCTTGGCCTTAGCTTAACTCAGGTATATTTACTGCATTCGTTTATTCATTCATTTGTTCATTTGAGCCGAGCTCAAACTCTTGGCTGAGTTAACAACCTCAAGAGACAGTTGAAACTCTCTGTAGAGAAAAATTTCACAAACTACACACGCTTAAATTTTGTTAGATTACATCTGATGCCTGTCTGTCGATATGCTGGATTTTGATTTTGAAGAGCGAATGTTGTATTGTAATTATTTTATCCATGTTCTGGTATAACACGAGTTTACTCGCAAGGTTTTGATAAGCAATTATTCTGGTGAGAGCTAACTCAACTGATGATGTACAACTCTTTCATTCCTTGTAGATATCTGTGATTTTACGCGTGGTAAATATTGTCATTGGGTCCGTGATAAAAACCAGCGCTGCTATTGACAAACAAAGAGAAGATTGAGACAATCCAGGAAGACTGGACCCAGTCGAGACCACACTACAGACTCAGGTATGAAATAAGAGTGATCTCATGACCACCATCATTATTATGAATAGTCATTACCTCATTACTCTACATCGTTCCATCATTGTCCATGATTGTCAATTGATATCCATCCATGCACAAGATTATCATATTTAATCATACCAACCCATCCATAATTATACATCAACATCCCTGAACATCAATCATCATTCTCGTCTTCATTATCATGGTTGCGGAGATCTCTGTTGAGATTTTCGTCTTTTGATAGATGCGATCGTGTCGATAAGTTACGAGTTTTCAAATAAGGGTTCTTATACACAGAGCTTTTGTAACTATTCATTCATTTCAATCTGGCTAAGGTCAGATGTCATAAGGCCTGTTTTCCACTAGGCGGAATTTTGCTCGCGGAGCGGAATTTTTCTTTGTTTTTCTCACATTAGTTCTGCGTGAAAGCGCGCAGACAATTAAAAATTCCGCTCCGCGGGTAAAATTCCGCCTAGTGGAAAACAGGCTTAATAGTTATTTACGAGACGTCATTATTCGTTCGCGCTGAGTGAGAAATTAAAAAAAAAGACTTCGTCAAACAGGCGGAAAGAGCGTTAGTATTTTCCACCTTGAATTGTTTAGACTGTCTCGTGAATCTAATAAAATAACTTGAGCTAAAACTTGATGCGTTTTACCAGTCATTTTCATTGTTTTGCTTGGGTTTCCTGTACACTAATTTTTCTCGACATAACAAACGCCCCCATATTGGAATAAATTTATTCTCTAACAAGTAAACAATAAGCGTTGAATTCACTCTTGAAATAACTTTAATCGATCATTTTTCTTAAATATGTGATTATTGTTTCAACTCATAATCATAGAAAAGTTTGATTTTCACTCTTCAAGTGGGAACGTCAAGCCTTGTGTCAGCAACAGTCTGCACCTGATTTACTTTGCTTTAAAATTTGATTGATAACTCTATTAAAATGAGCAATATTTTAAACCGTGGGAACTAGGCTGGAGACTTCTCAAAGAAAGAAAATCACACAAATCATCAGGATCCCCGCCACGTTCTTTATACGATAAAAACACTTTGAATTTTTGCAAGCATTAGCAAAGATACGTAGATCTCGTTCAAATACACTTTTCTCTGATCCCAGTTCGATATCATGGAAAAGAATATTGTGTTAAGATGATCGTAAGAAACTCTGTGAATGAAGTGACAGGAATATTTGTACAAAAATCCCGCACTAACATATTGTAGGTGAAGAAACTTAGCGGGATTCCCGCCTGGAAATTTCCATATGGTAAAATTACAGGATGAACATACCACAAGATTGTGAGGAATTTAACGCAAGAATGAATCTGCTTTGACATATTGTCTTGTGTTTAGTCAAAGTTTTGCATCGCTTGGAGTAAAGAAACTCGGTATGTCTTCAATTGTGACAAGTATTCTCAGTTCAACACTTGGTTTATTATGGAATAAGGTCAGAGACTCGACGGCAGACAAACTGAAAGACGGCGATGTAACCGATGCAGAAATTCGTAAGATTGTCGTACGAGAGTTAAATGATATCAAGTCCAAAATCGATGGCCTTTCTAGGTCAACTTTACTCGGTAGTTACGATTTCCTTCAAGAAGGAGTAAAGATACTCAGTGTTTCTCTTGATAAATCAAATCCCGAGCAGAAAGCGACCGAAACTCAGGACGAACCAGGTGAACCTTCGAGCGTTATTCAGTCTGGTATCTTAAACCAAGCAATAGAGCTTCCTCGCGCCATGGAAAATCTTAAAATCAACTCAGACAGAGAGTTTGAAACTGCGAGAGAAAGATTCAAGAAAGCGCGCGAGACAGCGACCACTACTTTCAGGAATGAAGCATTTAATATCGAAGATCGAATTTTTGCTGCGAAGCTACGAATAGTTTCAGAAATACTGGAACATATCGACAGTCCTGAGACCGCAATCGCTGGGTGTTTGTCGTTTTTGGAGACCCTTCATAGCTTACCAGCCATTCAAGAGATATTCTCGGTGTATTTGAACGGTGGAATCAAATCAGTGTTGAATAAGCCTGAACGAGTGGAGAACGTCAAGTCGGTTATGTTAATCAACTATGTGTTGTTTGAATATGTCGGGAAATTCAGCAGCAAATATTCGTTTGAAGTGCCCGCCTGCATGCCAACGATTGAACTTCCTGATCGTAGTTTTCACCCAATAAGAAATTGGAACGAAATTTCAAAAAGAAAGTCTATGGGAAAGGAATTGCCTCATCCTCCGTACGAACAGTTCCTTGATGAAGAAATAGTACCTTACTGCTCTGCTGTGAACAGTCAGGGGGATGTTCTTACTGCCCCTGGTACTGTGCCTGGTCTCTCTGGTGACAACATGATGATTATCCATGAGACAGGAGAAATCAAACGGGTTGAAATACCTGAATATTCAGATTATGTTTTTGTTTTAGCACCGCTTGCTGTTGATATGAATAACAATGTTTACGTGGTGAGACTAGGTTCTTGTAAAGTATTCGTGTTGACGATATTGGACGAGAATTACAATGTCAAAGCAAAGCATAAATTGCGTTTTCTCGGCTTCTTTGATATTAGGATCGCGATATGCAAAGACGATGATATTATCATCATCAAACACAAAGACCCTCATGTGTATGTTTATGACAAGACGTGTCAATTGAAATACAAGTTTAAACGTGACTCGAGTGAGGCATTTTCATTGAGTATTTCCCAGCAGAATGAAATCATGATACCAACAGATGATCGTACGGCGGTTCAAATATACACCAAGGAAGGAAATCTGAAGACAACAATAAAAGTCCCAAAAGATCATGAGGTATGCAGCGTCGCATTTCACTACCAAATTTGTAAAATATTGGTTTTAACCAGGGATAGGGAAAAGCATTCCTATTTCATTCTGTGCTACCCTGAAGCAGGCGGGGAGCTGGAGGCTCTTAGCTTTTTCTGTAAAGATGAAAATTTCTGCGATGAAGTCATTCCCAAACTGGTATCCCATCCCAAAGGTCCTGTTGTTGTTGTAAGAGAGAGAAGCATCACTTACCTTTAATGAGATTTAGTATGAACAACATTTCCTGGATAAAACACAGTAAATACTTGTCTGAAATAGTGCAACTTTGAGTTAACTAAAGCAAACAATAGATGCAACATGGTTTATATAATTTGTGAGACTTTGCTGAATTACGTTCCATTAAAGTGTCCCTGTTTCTGTTGTAAGAGAGACAAGTGTAACTTATATTTAAATAATTTATATGATAATTTTTTTTTTACATTTGCCAACGTGGACAATAAGCTTTTAATGACATTTAAAAGCGTATGAATCTTATTTCCTATGATATAATATAGTGAAAACTTTCTTTGCCTTGTAATAAATGATCAGGTTCTTAACATAATAAATATAATCATATTTCTGTCTTAAAAAGATATTCAGGCTACAAATAATTTTGTAAATACAGTTTCCCATGCAGGGAAACCCTTCCAGTCGATTTCAAGGCATAAAGCCCTGAAGCCTTTTTTAGGCCAACAGGGTAGGGGGATATATCCACCCACGATCAACTTCCGCCCAGGATCAACTTCCGTCCAGGAACAACTTCCGCCAAGAGTTTCATCAACAAGAGGTGTCCTCTTCCCCTCAGAAAGAAGTCCAAGAACAACTCACATTTTTAAAGTCCCAGCCTCAGGTAAATAGTTTTCTTCTGCTTTTATGGAGTGCCCATTTAAATTATATTGTAGGTCAAGGGTGTTTTCCAAGGGGGGCAGTTGTCTTCTTACTCAGTATTCTGAATGTGCTAGACTTACTTCAGATGGCTCTACACTTGAAACAGTTTTGAGAGAGAAATTGGACTACTCAAGCATTTGGTTTGCCATGTCTACTGGAACAACTACAACAACGTGGCATCTAGTAAAGTTTATTAATATAATTGAATCCTCTGGGAGAGACAGCACTAAATCTCAGTACCAAGTGCATCTGCAGAAATGGTTAAAATTTTGTATGGAAAATGTTAGCAAGGTCTTATAGTTTTTTCGAAAGCAGCCTATACCTTCCGCGCTGACTTTGAAGGAGCTTACTGTTAAAGTTTCCTTCTTATTGACCTTACTCAGTGGACAACGCTGTCAAACTATTCATCTTCTCACTGTCGATAACATGATTCTCGTTGTGGACAAGTGCACTTTCCACGTCATGGAGAAAGTCAAACAGACACGTGTCGGAACTCATGTCAAACTCCTCGAGTTTTTGAAATATCCATTTGAGCCTCAGCTTTGCGTCGTTACTCATCTCTTAGACAACTGATAAAAATAGCCATGATAGAAAGCAATTTCTACTGAGTTATGTGAAACTGTATGAACTTGTTTCCAAAGATACTATATCTCGATGGATAAAGTCTGTTTTGGTAGCTGTAGGTTTAGATGTTAGCAAATTGAAAGGTCATAGTGTTCGAGCAGCAACTACATCCTTTTTAGCGTCCAATAACTGTAAAATTAAGGATATTATTTTATCCGCAGGATGGTCGAATGAACAGACATTTCAACGGTTTTATAATAAACCGAGCGAGGAGGAATTTAATTTTGGCGCTTCGGTGTTAGAGTGCTATACAAACGTTGATTGTTCCTAGGATATATAATATACTATATATATAATATACTTCTCTATATATCGAGATGTCTTTCCACTGGGTTTTATCACGCTGGCTATAGTTAGAGCGGTTTGTGTATCTCTGCAGGACAAAGCCCTCACTGATTGCTCTGAAATCTCGTACAACGTCACATGACTTTGGTTGATGACGAAATAGAATTGAAAATTAAACGAGACTTACCTGGAAGTTAAAGTTTGATTTGGCCTGGAGTGTGAGAGCTGTACGCCTCCCCTGTTTTCTCGCATTCCTTTACTTGCAGTCCACTCTCACACTCATCACGTCCGTGCGGTCTTTGTCTGGTAAAGATCTAAAGACTGATTGGCGCATGCGCTGCACTCTCTCTCGTACAACTCTCCACTCCCGGCTGATGACTCATGCAATCCAAATCAAATTACACTCACTTTTGTGGACATAACAAACGCCCCCATATTTGAATGAATCT